AATCCTCCGTTTCCATGTTTACAAAAAACCTGCTGGGTACTGCAATCGGTTAAAAGGAGGAAAAGAGAACTCCAGTCCTCGCAGAGAGCTTCAGATACACCCCGGCTGCGCCATTCAGGTTTCCCGGTGTCGGCCTCAGAGCTCCGTTGCAGTTGAGGCCCCCAGGCAGAAGAAGACTGCGGAAAGCTGCAGAAATTAATCATGAAAGTTGTTGTTTTGCTTTGAAAAACAAAAGAAGGGGGTGACGACTGCAGAGGGTTCTGAAATCATGCACACAGCTCGGGCGAGCAGCTGCTCGGAATCTGCGGAATCCTGGGGTAATTTCAAAGTTTCTTTTGAATCAATTGATTAAAATAACAAATAAATATGCAGAAATGATATTTTAAATGAATTTAGACGGTAATTCTCAACGGATCGCCGGGCGCAGGCGACCCGGAGCTGCCGATACACCCGACATCCTCAACAGCTTTCCCTCGTAATTTTTCAGAATTTCAAGAAACTGGAATATATATAATGTACAAATTGCGACGAAATGTTTGTATTCTCGTGCTGACGCATCTAACTAGCAGTGCCGATCCGAGCTGCGTGAAACAAAGTTTTGAGTTTCTTGCATCAGCAAAGTTGAATTGGGTATACTGATTTCCTCTTTGGCAAAAAACACAAGTTTTTGCAGCCTAATAAATACACAAATGTGAATATTTCTTCTTAATTTGTTCAAAACCCGGAGAAAAATTTCATGTTTTTGTTGGGGGCCCCTGCAGCAACCAACGACGACGGGCCCCCCTGTTGTTGCATTCGTCTGTTGCAGCTGCGCTGCAGTGTACAGACAGCTGAATTTATTAGAATTTAGAATATTTTGAAGGCAAATAACATCTTCTAGAAGTAAATATTATTCTAATTTCTACTGAAGAACCCTCAATACACCCCGATACCCCCCCCTCTCCTCTGCCCGTTGCTGCTGAGCTGCGAGTCGCCTTACCCCGGTAACTACTGAGCTTGTTAGAGGCCCATTCATATTGTATAAAAAAGAAAAAAAGATAAATAAAGTTTTAAATAAATAAATCAAAAACATTTTGAACGAAAAACTCCCGCCTTCTACACACAAGTACAACAGCTGCTGCAACAAATGCAGCTAATTACCCTGGCTCGATTTCTGCTGTTCTCAGCTGCAGCAGCAACAATTTAATTTTTAAAATAAAAGCCCCAAACAGCAGCGCATGCATCTACACTTCTACGCAGACAGCAGCAGCAGCAAACACATAAACTAGAGCGAGCGGAGAGGCTCTGTAGCAGCTGCTGCTGCAGCTCAGCCCTGCATGCGAGAATAAAAACCAACGACAGCAGCAGCAATAGCAGTAGTAACAGCAGCAGCAGCAGCAACAGCAGCAGCAGCAACAGCAGCCAAGTAGTAAGAGCTGAAACCAGCCGAGGATAGATAAACAGCTACCATACATACATGTACATCTATATATATACATATATATATATATATATATATATATATATATATGTATAGAGAGAGAGAGAGAGATATATATATATATAT